GAAGTTTACATATTACATACAACGGTCAAACAATTCTATCCAGTCTTCAGTGCACAGAATACTGGATTGGAAAAGTTATAGTTGTAGGTTGGCTAATTGATCGAGTCCATTCCCTGAGGATTGGTTCTCCAGTCATAAAGCCTTTCTCTGTTGGCCTGCAGGACTGTCTCCTCCCTGAGGATTGGTTCTCCAGTCATAAAGCCTTTCTCTGTTGGCCTGCAGGACTGTCTCCTCCCTGAGGATTGGTTCTCCAGTCATAAAGCCTGTCTCTGTTGGCCTGCAGGACTGTCTCCTCCCTGAGGATTGGTTCTCCAGTCATAAAGCATGTCTCTGTTGGCCTGCAGGACTGTCTCCTCCCTGAGGATTGGTTCTCCAGTCATAAAGCCTGTCTCTGTTGGCCTGCAGGACTGTCTCCTCCCTGAGGATTGGTTCTCCAGTCATAAAGCCTGTCTCTGTTGGCCTGCAGGACTGTCTCCTCCCTGAGGATTGGTTCTCCAGTCATAAAGCCTGTCTCTGTTGGCCTGCAGGACTGTCTCCTCCCTGAGGATTGGTTCTCCAGTCATAAAGCCTGTCTCTGTTGGCCTGCAGGACTGTCTCCTCCCTGATGATTGGTTCTCCAGTCATAAAGCCTGTCTCTGTTGGTCTGTCCTACTGGCCCCGGCCACACAGATAGCAGGAACGAGGTAATCACTGTAGGAGGAGCTTTGTAGGAGGTTGTGCATGTGGAAGTGTGTGTGACATTGGTTTGTGTTTGTGTGTGTGTGTGTGTGTGTGTGTGTGTGTGTGTGTGTGTGTGTGTGTGTGTGTGTGTGTGTGTGTGTGTGTGTGTGTGTGTGTGTGTGTGTGAGACGATAGGTTGTGTGTGTGTGGAAGTGTGTTAGTGACGTGCGTATCACTTGGCATTGTGAAGATGGATTGGATGAGCTGTGAGCAATGGATAAACAAGGTGATGAAAACGACTGTACTGTCATGAGCCTACATTTGGCTTTTACTATTAATAACCCACAGTACAACACTTGGGAAGTTATTCATCAATGCCCAACACGATTCTCATAAAAAGGAACATTTTGCCAAAGGTTCATCAAAGACTCTTCAACAACAAGTGGTGCCATCTACGGGAGGACGTCCGAAGGGAGCTAGCCTGCCAGGACACCATGTTGTCCTTGGTAGATGTCAGAAGAGTTCTGGGGAGAATGATGCACTATAGCCTGCCAGCCTTCAGCCATGCATTAGAGACACACTAACCCAAAACCGTAGCAAGGCAAGCAAGCAAGTAAAAACTACCAGAAACATAATTGAAATTCACTAGATAACAAAATAATGGAAGTGCAGGTTTTGAAAGTAGAATGAAAAGTAGCAAGGTGGAATATCTATATATCTATATAGCTATATAGCTATAGGCTAACCTTTACAAGCTGTATCGACATGGTTAATGGTTGGGGGACATTTACTGTGCGACTTGACCCACACATTTTCTGGATGCAATAAACTATACTAGAGTCAAATAAACCAGTGGCTTCCTTCCCACAACAGTACTTCATAACGTTGGACAGAGCGCAGGCTAATACAGTAACTGCAGTACTGTGCAGCAGTAAACAGTACTTCATAACGTTGGACAGTGTCACGACTTCCTCCGAAGCTGCCTCCTCTCCTGGTTCGGGCAGGCTTCGGCGTTCGTCGTCCCCGGCCTTCTAGCCACTGCCGCTCCTCATCTCATCATTCCATTTGTTTTGTCTTGTTTATTATACACACCTGGTTCATATCCCCTCATTAGTACGTGTATAAGTGTTCCCTCTGCCCCCTTGTCCTTGTGGGTGATTGTTTATTGTGAGGAGAGTGGAGCTCAGTTGAGCTCAGTTTATTTTGTATTTGCCGGGGTATATTTTCCCTGTGTGCCTGTTTGGTTCCAGACTGTTTGACGCATTTCTGCGTAACTCTGTATTCTGTGATTTACCCTCCTGCGCCTGACTCCTTCAAATTACCCATAACAGAATCACCCACCCGACATGGAGTCAGCAGGAGAGGAGCGCATGCCTGGAGTCGTGGCACGGGTCCAGGAGCATTCGACGATGCTAGCCAGCTTGGGAGAAGCGATGGATCAGGTTCTCCAGGTCGTCCAACGCCTGGAGAGGAGAGGACCCGATCTGTCGGGATCCATACATCCCGACCACGGGATTTCGACGGGACAGCTGCTCTCTGCCAGGGATTCCTCCTCCAACTGGAGCTCTGATATTCCAGCATCAGCCCGGCCCCATCGGAGCGGGAGAAGGTGTCCGCCCTCGTCTCCTGCCTCTCGGGGAAAGCCCTCCAGTCCTGTGCAGCAGTGAACAGTACTTCTTACACCCAGTGGGCAGTCAGAGCCAATCGGAATAAATTACACGGAACATTTCCCAAAACGTTTTAATGCGTAATGCCGTTAGCCAGAAGCACAGGCTATAGAATAGCACCCAGTGGGCAGTCAGCCTATGTGCTGCATGTACACCATGGGGAAAAATGACAGGAATGGGAGGAACATGTAAGACTATCCTTCACATGGCCCACTATGTTAGTCTCATGTCATACAGAACCCTCATCCAGCAGGCTGCAGGCTATCTTTGGACTGACATCCCACTGACTCTACTCTCAAAATATACCTGTTGCCGAGTATGACAACCAACATGTATATACAGTGCATTCTGAAAGTATTCAGACCCCTTGACTTTTTCCACATTTTGTTACGTTACAGCCTTATTGTAAAATTGATGACATTTGTATTTTTTGTCATAGCAAAGGGTCTGAATACTTACATTTTAATAAATGTGAGAAAAAAATTCTAGAAACCTGTTTTCGCTTTGTCATTATGTGGTGTTGTGTGTAGGTTGATGAGGAAAACGTTTTATTTAATCAATTTTAGAATAAGGCTGTAACGTAACAAAATGTGGAAAAAGTAAAGGTGTCTGAATACTTTCCGAATGCACTGTATGACCGTGTATTTCAATGTGGAATAAACAAAGAAACCGAACGCAGAACAAAGTAACAATGTAACATTATAGACATTACAGACAAGTGACCTGGGTGTGTATTTCAAGGGCAGGCAGCTGAGCCTGTCACTTATGGATTGGTTTTTCAACATGTTAAGGGCATGTGGTATAGGCTTTCCAGTGGACAGGACTATGTATCCAAAGACATGCAGTACTGTCATATCACATATACAATGTTTAAAGTAACACTTTACAAGAAACTTGTTTCTATGGAGAGTTGGAGACATAATATAATAATATGCCATTTAGCAGACGCTTTTATCCAAAGCGACTTACAGTCACGCGTGCATAAATATTTTGTGTATGGGTGGTCCCGGGGATCGAACCCACTACCTTGGCGTTACAAGCGCCGTGCTCTACCAGCTGAGCTACAGAGGACTGTCTCCTCACTTAATAGGCAGTTACTATAGTCATTTTTTTAAATGTAATTTATTGAGATGGAAAACTAGTTTTTTATGAATTTGAACATGTGCTCTTTATGACAGAATGTTAAAATTAGGTTTTTAAAAAATGTTGACCAAGTTAGACATTTTTCAACTCAATAATTATTGTATTACCCAGAAATGTAAAAAAATAAACATAAATGTACCGTAATTTAAGCTTTAAAACTGCAAAGTTTTCTCTCTGCCTCATGGCAAAATGTGTAGAATTACAGGATAGTAGCTTTAAAGCTGCAACAACAACAAATCTTTCTGCCCCATGAAAACTGAAAATGTTCCTTCCCAGGGCCAGACACTTGGTTTGTCCGGCCATGCACTGCTGAAGTCATAGTATAACTCATTGTATGCTGTGTTGTTGTCTCGCTCTAGTTGTGTTCTGACTCATGGTGCCCCTGATTAACTTTCAATCACAAAAAGTGATACAACAACAAAACAAAACAAAACAAAACAACAAAAGTTTGAGAACCCATGCTCTACATACACTACATGACCAAAAGTATGTGGAGACCTGCATGTCGAAGATCTCATTCCAAAATCATGGGCATTAATATGGAGTTTGTCCCCCCTTTGCTGCTATGACAGCATCCACTCTTCTGGGAAGGCTTTCCACTAGATGTTGGAACATTGCTGCGGGGACTTGCTTCCATTCAGCCACAAGAGCATTAGTGAGGTCGGGCACTGATGTTGGGCGATTAGGCCGGGCTCGCAGTCGGCGTTCCAATTCATCCCAAAGGTGTTCGATGGTGTTTCAGGTCAGGGCTCTGTGCAGGCCAGTCAAGTTCTTCCACACCGAACTCGACAAACCATTTCTATATGGACCTCGCTTTGTGCACAGGGGCATTGTCATGCTGAAACAGGAAAGGGCCTTCCCCAAACTGTTGCCACAAAGTTGGAAGCACAGAGTCGTCTACAATGTCATTGTATGCTGTAGCGTTAAGATTTTCCTTTACTGGAACTAAGGGGCCTAGCCCGAACCATGAAAAACAGCCCCAGACCATTATTCCATTCTACTGCCAATGTTTGCCTTTGGAGTTTGCACGGCTCTGTGCTCGATTTTATACACCTGTCAGCAACGGGTGTGGCTGAAATAGCCGATGTATTTGATACCATTCCACTGATTCTGCTCCAGCCATTACCACCAGCCCATCCTCCCCAATTATGGTGCCACCAATCTCCTGTGCTAAAGTTGCACAGCACTGTCACTGTTCAGGGTGTAGTTTGTCAACTTGCCTCCAGCTCATGTTTCAAGTATCGCAGCCAGTGAAGCTTTGTGATTGGTCAATGAGAGGGCCTTAGAACGCTTGTATGTTTCAAGCAACATTCCTCTCAGCTCATGTTTAATTCAGTCTATTATCAACAAATATTTGAGTAGACTTGAACATATAAAATGGTAAAATAATTATTTGTATCCATACTTAAACATTTTGTTTGTGATTAACGGATTATACTTTGAATATCATAGTTATTGTTCCTCCCTATTCACTCCATGTGTCATCGGAGGGATACGCTATGTTCGCCTAGGGAAGTAGTCCCGGTCAGTTTGGGGTTTATATTTCGCCGGTGCTCAGCTGATGGGCGCATTGGTCCCTGCAACGTTCACCCAGTAGGTGAGTCACTGCATCCTGATCTGTAGAGGGTCAACTTTAGACTTACCATTGGATGGACAATTCTTGCAAGATAATATTCACACAACTGTCCCTATTTAATTACATTGTTATTTTATCAGTTTTGGTTATAAAAACATTATAATACACTTTTAAGCTATTGGAATGTTACTTCTTACCATAGAGTTTTGAATGAAATTATTATTGTTTATGTATTCATATACTTCAAATATAATATTTCAGTCTGAACATGGCTTCTTGTGCAGATTTGACAACTAATGACAAGTACCTACCTGGTGTTTCAAATTTTTGTTTACTGTGAAGTTGGGTTTGTTTCATGCCATTTCTTCTCAATTAAAGTAAAATTGAAGGCTACATGAGTTAAACGTAGCAATGTTTGGCAATATTTGTGTGATGAGATCGTATACACCAGATTACATTTAATATGGTTTGCCGATAGACCATACTGTCATATACAGTCAGAGTAGTCTACACCTGTTGAGTGACCGCTTGCTGTACATAGTCTAGCCATCACTGTGTAGTCTGAGGAAGCAACTGGCATCAAAGCCATGTGACATCCTCATAGAATAGAACATCTGCTTGGATGTTTTTTTTCTCTCCAAATGTCTGAATGAGTTGACATCTCACTTAGTTTGTTTTAGTCAGTGACACTGTAGTTACTGTAGCTCAGTCCGGTAGTACAGGCTACGATCTGTACTGTAGCTCAGTCCGGTAGTACAGGCTACGATCTGTACTGTAGCTCAGTCCGGTAGTACAGGCTACTATCTGTACTGTAGCTCAGTCCGGTAGTACAGGCTACGATCTGTACTGTAGCTCAGTCCGGTAGTACAGGCTACGATCTGTACTGTAGCTCAGTCCGGTAGTACAGGCTACGATCTGTACTGTAGCTCAGTCCGGTAGTACAGGCTACGATCTGTACTGTAGCTCAGTCCGGTAGTACAGGCTACGATCTGTACTGTAGCTCAGTCCGGTAGTACAGGCTACGATCTGTACTGTAGCTCAGTCCGGTAGTACAGGCTACGATCTGTACTGTAGCTCAGTCCGGTAGTACAGGCTACGATCTGTACTGTAGCTCAGTCCGGTAGTACAGGCTACGATCTGTACTGTAGCTCAGTCCGGTAGTACAGGCTACGATCTGCACCTCCTGCTAAGGGTGTATGAGTGCTGAAAGGCAGAGACACACTTCTAAAAGTATCTTCCAGTAGAAACTGTAGCAGGGCTTTTTGGAAATGCCGATAGCTGGACATGGCACATGTCATGTTCTCTATGATAGATGAACTGGTGTATGGTATCATGGTACATGTCATGTTCTCTATGTTAGCTGGACTGGTGTATGGTATCATGGTACATGTCAGGTTCTCTATGATAGCTGGACTGGTGTATGGTATCATGGTACATGTCATGTTCTCTATGATAGCTGGACTGGTGTATGGTATCATGGTACATGGAAGGTTCTCTATGATAGCTGGACTGGTGTATGGTATCATGGTACATGTCAGGTTCTCTATGATAGCTGGACTGGTGTATGGTATCATGGTACATGTCATGTTCTCTATGTTAGCTGGACTGGTGTATGGTATCATGGTACATGTCATGTTCTCTATGATAGCTGGACTGGTGTATGGTATCATGGTACATGTCATGTTCTCTATGATAGCTGGACTGGTGTATGGTGTCATGGTACATGGAAGGTTCTCTATGATAGCTGGACTGGTGTATGGTATCATGGTACATGTCATGTTCTCTATGATAGCTGGACTGGTGTATGGTGTCATGGTACATGGAAGGTTCTCTATGATAGCTGGACTGGTGTATGGTGTCATGGTACATGGAAGGTTCTCTATGATAGCTGGACTGGTGTATGGTATCATGGTACATGTCAGGTTCTCTATGATAGCTGGACTGGTGTATGGTGTCATGGTACATGTCAGGTTCTCTATGATAGCTGGACTGGTGTATGGTGTCATGGTACATGTCATGTTCTCTATGATAGCTGAACTGGTGTATGGTATCATGGTACATGGAAGGTTCTCTATGACTATGTAGATACTGTTTACACCAGCTAAATCAAGTCCAGGCAGACATTAGTCATTTGTCAGACAGTTTACATGGCAACAGATACTCTTCTGGTACCTTTAAAATATGTACACTGTGTATTACAGTGGTCTAACGGACTTTGAGATCCAAAGTCAGTTTAGCTAACTATCATTGCAATATAAGTAATATTCACAGAATATTTTGGGAATACTTAAGTTTCTTACCCAATGTGGAAACCAACTTCCACAAAAAGGGGCCTCTGGCCACTTACCAAGCTGCTACACTGGGGGCCTAGAGTTAGCAGGCCAAACTTACCAGCTGCTACACTGGGGGCCTAGAGTTAGCAGGCCAAACTTACCAGCTGCTACACTGGGGGCCTAGAGTTAGCAGGCCAAACTTACCAGCTGCTACACTGGGGGCCTAGAGTTAGCAGGCCAAACTTACCAGCTGCTACACTGGGGGCCTAGAGTTAGCAGGCCAAACTTACCAGCTGCTACACTGGGGGCCTAGAGTTAGCAGGCCAAACTTACCAGCTGCTACACTGGGGGCCTAGAGTTAGCAGGCCAAACTTACCAGCTGCTACACTGGGGGCCTAGAGTTAGCAGGCCAAACTTACCAGCTGCTACACTGGGGGCCTAGAGTTAGCAGGCCAAACTTACCAGCTGCTACACTGGGGGCCTAGAGTTAGCAGGCCAAACTTACCAGCTGCTACACTGGGGGCCTAGAGTTAGCAGGCCAAACTTACCAGCTGCTACACTGGGGGCCTAGAGTTAGCAGGCCAAACTTACCAGCTGCTACACTGGGGGCCTAGAGTTAGCAGCCCAAACTTACCAGCTGCTACACTGGGGGCCTAGAGTTAGCAGCCCAAACTTACCAGCTGCTACACTGGGGGCCTAGAGTTAGCAGGCCAAACTTACCAGCTGCTACACTGGGGGCCTAGAGTTAGCAGGCCAAACTTACCAGCTGCTACACTGGGGGCCTAGAGTTAGCAGGCCAAACTTACCAGCTGCTACACTGGGGGCCTAGAGTTAGCAGGCCAAACTTACCAGCTGCTACACTGGGGGCCTAGAGTTAGCAGGCCAAACTTACCAGCTGCTACACTGGGGGCCTAGAGTTAGCAGGCCAAACTTACCAGCTGCTACACTGGGGGCCTAGAGTTAGCAGGCCAAACTTACCAGCTGCTACACTGGGGGCCTAGAGTTAGCAGGCCAAACTTACCAGCTGCTACACTGGGGGCCTAGAGTTAGCAGGCCAAACTTACCAGCTGCTACACTGGGGGCCTAGAGTTAGCAGGCCAAACTTACCAGCTGCTACACTGGGGGCCTAGAGTTAGCAGGCCAAACTTAGCAGCTGCTACACTGGGGGCCTAGAGTTAGCAGGCCAAACTTACCAGCTGCTACACTGGGGGCCTAGAGTTAGCAGGCCAAACTTAGGAGTCCTGTGGGGTACCTGTAGACAGGTCTTTCTTGTCAAATATATATTTGTTTATGTCAGTGAGGATAACCTGTTTAAATAAAGGTTAGATAAAGTGAAAATGTGTTTCAAAAAGCAATTGATCAATTGAGGGGAGTTGAGGGACATGTATGATGGTGGAATATCACCAGTCCCCCATCATGACTATACCAAATCAAATAAAATCCAATCAAATTTTATTGGCCACATGCGCCGAATACAACAGGTGCAGACATTACAATGAAATGCTTACTTACAGCCCTTAACCAACAGTGCATTTATTTTTTAATAAAAAAGTAGAATAAAACAAACAAAAAAGTGTTGAGAAAAAAAGAGCAGAAGTAAAATAAAATAACAGTAGGGAGGCTATATACACAGGGGGGTACTGGTGCAGAGTCAATGTGCGGGGGCACCGGCTAGTTGAGGTAGTTGAAGTAATATGTACCAGGTTCCCTCTCTCTGTTGCTAGGTAGAATCTATAGGTTCTGTTATGTCTGTTGGCATCTATAGGTTATGTTATCTGTTGGTAGTTAGCATCTACAGTATAGCAGGGGTAGGCAATTAGATTCAGCCGCGGGCCGATTTTTGTCGGAGTGGCTGGTCTGGAACATAATTATAATAAATTGTACACTGCAAATTGACCACAACTAAGCCAAAAAATATATTATATTTGTAAATAGCAATGATTTCATACCTTACATTGTGACACGATCACATATGTCTCTTTTTTTGTTTGTGGGAATACTTGGGAACAGATTTCCTAAATTAAACTAATTGTTCGCGGAATTCCTGGTGATTTTACAGTCTTTTTTTAAAAACAAAAACTAAAATTGAATGCCATGAACCAAGAGGTTGTGAGTTCAAATCCCAGGTGAGGACATGTTGAATAATAATTACTCTATAAATGAACATGCACAAAGTAATCATGTATGTCAACGTGTGTCAAATATGTAAGTTGAAAACATTGTATGTTAAAGCACTGTGTAACCAGGTACACAGTATTTTTTAGTTAAGATGCCGAATAAGAATTTATATAATTTTTCCCAAAGTTTTCTCAAGTTGGAGCAAAGTTTTTAGGCCAACAATTTTTTGTTGTTGTTCATTTAACACTGGGAACAAAAGGTTGAGTAAACTATAAAAAGGCTGTGGAACCAGTTACTTAATAATAATGAGTTAAAACAACTACATTTGTGGATGTTTTGTTACAGTCTGGGTTATGTAATGTCTGTGGTTCAGTAGCATGTCAGTGTAATGATCTGGTCTCGAACCCTTGATTCACTGGGATAGAGACTATGAGACTGAGAGAAGCTGTACGAGCCAAGTATCGTACACACACCCTGTCCAAATACTGGCCTGCCGTGAAAAGTGATATTGAGACAGGCAGGATATACAACCTCTCCCTGGATAATCCTTCAAGTTAGAGGTGAAGACGAAATGTCATATCGAACAGAATGTCAAAGTATCGTCTCATCACGTTATTCCCCCTATCTTCCTCCCCGTCCCCTCCCTCCCTCCCTCCCTCCCTCCCTCCCTCCCTCCCTCAATCCCTCCCTCCCTCCCTCCCTCCCTCCCTCCCTCCCTCAATCCGTCCGTCCCTCCCTCCCTCCCTCCCTCCCTCCCTCCCTCCCTCCCTCCCTCTTTCCCCCCACTCCCTCCCTGTCTCTTTCCCTCTTTCCAGGACATCTCAGACAGCAATCCAATCATGTCTAAAGGAAAAGATGTGGGTTCTGCCTTCATCCAGACGCAGCAGCTGCACGCTGCCATGGCTGACACCTTCCTGGAGCACATGTGTCTTCTGGACATCGACTCCGCCCCAGCCAAGTCTCGCAACACCGGAATCATCTGCACCATCGGTCAGTGGAGAACACCCCCCCCCCCCCCCTCCTCACCTCCTTGTGTTTATCATACTGAAGTCAGTTTCAGTTCTATTGCTCTTCCATCAGTGTAATCGTTACAGAGCACTTCATAGAAGGCCCTAGGCCTATACTACAGCAATCCAGCGATGTGTTTTTACATTCTGTGTGAGCAGGTCTACTGAAGGCCTATATCCCTCTAAAACCCTTGCTTGTCATCTTGTCCGTCTGCAGGACCCGCCTCCAGAAAAGTGGATATGCTGAAGGAGATGATCAAATCTGGGATGAACATTGCAAGAATGAACTTCTCTCACGGAACTCATGAGGTCAGTGGTGTTGCCCAGGACAACATTCTCTCGTTAGATCACACTAAACTAGTGCTGAAGCCAAGGTAAAGGGCTCTAGTGGTGAACCTGATGCCCCCACAGCTGTTCACGGATTTAGACTAGTGCTGAGTTACAAACTGACCCCTAGCCCTTACTCCCTGGTACCTCAAGTTGATCTGAAAAGGGAAAGCAATATGGTGACATTTCCACTCAGCTGAGTATAAAGACTGCCGGTTTGTCTTGAGTGAGTCTGCAGCCTGGCCAGTCTCCTAATATAACCTTTAGGGAGTCTACCAGAGCCCAGCCAGCCTTATTGTGACATTATCACTGGACCATTTAAATGCCAGTGTCTGTAAGCTGATCTGAACCCTCGTATTTGCTCTTCAGTGCCCTCTCCTCCTCCTCCTCCTCCTCCCCCAGTCATCCTCTCTTGTCTTTAGCTGATCAGTAGTACAGCTAGATGGATCATAGCCAGGTCCTGGCACTAGGCTTTACACCTCTCCCCTTTAAAAGTCAGGGCTTTTTAACTTTGTCACCCTGCAGGGCACCCAGAGTGCACCTGGAAAGCTCACAGCCAGTTGCAGTATTCTATAAAGAGCGATACTTGTAAAAAAAATTAAACTTTTATTATATATTTGAATCAGACTTATATATTTGAATCAGACAAAAGCCAACGGTACTGTTATGACTCACCAATAGTGGGTACTCAGCACCTCTGAACAGAATGCCGTCTGTAATTTGTGAACCCGAGTGCAAATGATTTTACATGTAGAATTGCACGACAATGTCGGCAGTCAGACGTCGACAGCGCGCTGAACGATTGGTAGATGAACAGGAGATCCACATTCGGTGCGATGTGTGCGGCCCTTTAATGGCTTGTCCCAAGAACACGTTCTCTTCTCTGAAGTTGTACAGGACTGTTGATAGATGATATTCAACTTGCGTATCACACGTTATCAGTGTGTCCATTCCTCCATTACTCTTTAGGACTGTTCATTCTGGTCCAACCACACAAATACTGTCATTAATGTTCATTAATGTTCAGCCTCAGTTCGTCGGGGCATTGACTCTACAAGGTGTAGAAAGCGTTCCACAGGGATGCTGGCCCATGTTGACTCCAATGCTTCACACAGTTGTGTCAAGTTGGCTGGATGGTGGACCATTCTTGATACACACAGGAAACTGTTGAGCGTGAAAAACCCAGCAGCAGTTCTTGACAAACTCAAAACGGTGCGCCTGGCACCTACTACCATACCCTGTTCAAAGGCACTTAAATATTTTGTCTTGCCCATTCACCCTCTGAATGGCACACATACACAATCCATGTCTCAATTGTCTCAAGGCTTGAAAATCCTTATTTAACCTGTCTCCTCCCCTTCATCTACACTGATTGAAGGGGATTTAACAGGTAACATCAATAAGGGATCGTAGCTTTCCCCTGGATTCACCTGGTAAATCTATGTCATGGAAAGAGCAGCTGTTCCTAATGTTTTGTCAATTCAGTGTAGATTGGGTGTTAGCTAAACTGCATCACAGGAGGTGTGGAGTCACGTTCACCATTTAAGTTCTAGTTTCTAAATTAGAAATGGAGGTGTGGCTTGAAGACGAGATCGACAGAGAGTAGGGTTGCAAAATTAACTTTCCCCAAATTTCCAGAAATTCCGGTTTAAGGATTCCCAGATTTCCTCCTTATTCCCCCCATGATTCAGAGAATCTTACAACTGGGATTTCTGGAAAAACAACCTCAACAGAGAAGATCCCCCAGAGGCAGGAGCAGGGTATCTGAACTTAGCTTTAAACATATATAATGCAGAATATTATAATAATGTGACATGTCTCTCATGTCTTGAGGTCAGAGCTAAGAGACATTATCAGAAGGGCAAAGGAAACTTGACCTCTGCCCCTGGTCAGGTGGTCAGAATAGCTATAAATAGCTGTGAGTCTCCTAGTCTCAGGTTCTCAGCAAAAACTGTTTAGGGGCAGCAAGAGAGGCAGAGCTATGCTACGTGGCTATTCTATTTCATGTATGCCATTTAGCAGTTGCTTTTATCCAAAAGTGATTTACAGTTATTTTTGACATGTATATTTTAGTAATTTAGCAGACGCTCTTATCCAGAGCGACTTACAGTTAGTGAGTGGATACATTTTCTAACTTTTTTTTCTTCTTCCTGTACTGGTTGGTCCCCCGTGGGAATCGAACCCACAACCCTGGCGTTGCAAGCGCCATGCTCTACCAACTGAAGCATACATTTATTTTATATGGATAGGCCCAGTGGGAATACAGCGTACCTTACCTCTACCAAATGAGCCACACAGGACCTATTCATTTTAATATAACCAAGGCCAAAACATAACAAATTATTAAATCGTCCTTTGTCTGTCACCCATTAATCATTGTTGCTTTCAACACTGAGGTATAGCACGAGGCAGTAAGCATTTTTAAGCAGTAGCCTAGTTATAACTTGATACCAGATGGATAGGTGGGCCTTTGCCTTGGCGAACGTGCAGTTCATATCTAGGTCAGACTTTAAAGGTCAAATAGGGGCTGCCTATATTAGTCCTGTTTCACTGTATGTACAAGTGGGTAACCTGTACGAGTGTGAGGTGTATATCCCAACTTTGAGACACCCTTGGAGAGTGGGGTCACGGACAGGGATCAGCCATTATTGTTAGCAACCCTGGAGAAATTAGGGTTAAGTGCCTTGCTCAAGGGCACATCAACAGATTTTTCACCTAGTCGGCTCGGGGATTCAAACAAGCGACCTTTTCGGTTTTTGTCCCAATGTTCTTAACCGCTAGGCCACCATACATTTATCACCTCATATGGTTTTCTGCTGGAACCAAATGTGTTGCAGGCGCCAAAATCCTAACAGTTTTATTACATCAAGTTATGAAAGCTTCTACTATATGTGTACAGTATAATATTACAGTCTACTGAATATGACCACGCCGGTCACCTTGGTCACGTCTGCTCTTAATATAGACATAACACTTTGACATAGTTGCTACTAAATCTAATGTAATTAACGTCAATATTTTACAGAGTAAAAAAAATAATATATATTATTTATTTATGTCATTTACAGTGTGGAAATCCTCCTGTCTCTACATGATAGGACTCCCCCTACACAGTATATCAAATCAAATCAAATTAAACATTATATAAAGTGTATTCAAAATTGCAATACACTATTACCTATCTGGGCGATATCAATTTGTCCAGCTCGGTAACTAAACCACCTGAGCATTCCAAAGTGGAATTTGGGATTTCTCAAGATTCTGTGCTTGGACCCCTATCATTTTTGTATTCTACAGTACTGTTCTGAAACCACCTATGATGTCTCTAAATGATCTGACACCCCCTACAGTACCATGCTGAGACCATCAAGAACGTCCGTGAGGCCACCGAGAGCTTCGGACATGGAACCGTCGAGTACAGACCAGTGGCCATCGCTCTTGACACCAAGGGACCTGAGATCAGGACAGGACTGATCAAGGGCGTGAGTATTAATTTATTGTGAACCTTCATGAAAAGCCAAACGGATGAACAGAGGCATGTACTAGTTCAAGTTTTCAAGTTGGAAATCTTACTTAACACACCAAGTCTCTCACAATAAAAACAGCATGAAAAAATGGCAAGAAAAATAAACATATACAGTGGGGAGAACAAGTATTTGATACACTGCCGATTTTGCAGGTTGTCCTACTTACAAAGCATGTAGAGGTCTGTCATTTTTATCATAGGTACACTTCAACTGTGAGAGACGGAATCTAAAACAAAAATCCAGAAAATCACGTTGTATGATTTTTAAGTAATTAATTTGCATTTTATTGCATGACATAAGTATTTGATACATCAGAAAAGCAGAACTTAATATTTGGTACAGAAACCTTTGTTTGCAATTACAGAGATCATACGTTTCCTGTAGGTCTTGACCAGGTTTGCACACACTGCAGCAGGGATTTTGGCCCACTCCTCCATACAGACCTTCTCCATATCCTTCAGGTTTCGGGGCTGTCGCTGGGCAATACGGACTTTCAGCTCCCTCCAAAGATTTTCTATTGGGTTCAGATCTGGAGACTGGCTAGGCCACTCCAGGACCTTGAGATGCTTCTTACGGAGCCACTCCTTAGTTGCCCTGGCTGTGTGTTTCGGGTCGTTGTCATGCTGGAAGACCCAGCCACGACCCATCTTCAATGCTCTTACTGAGGGAAGGAGGTTGTTGGCCAAGATCTCGTGATACATGGCCCCATCCATCCTCCCCTCAATACGGTGCAGTCGTCCTGTCCCCTTTGCAGAAAAGCATCCCCAAAGAATGATGTTTCCACCTCCATGCTTCACGGTTGTGATGGTGTTCTTGGGGTTGTACTCATCCTTCTTCTTCCTCCAAACACGGCGAGTGGAGTTTAGAGCAAAAAGCTCTATTTTTGTCTCATCAGACCACATGACCTTCTCCCATTCCTCCTCTGGATCATCCAGATGGTCATTGGCAAACTTCAGACGAGCCTGGACATGCGCTGGCTTGAGCAGGGGGACCTTGCATGCGCTGCAGGATTTTAATCCATGACGGCGTAGTGTGTTACTAATGGTTTTCTTTGAGATTGTGGTCCCAGCTCTCTTCAGGTCATTGACCAGGTCCTGCCGTGTAGTTCTGGGCTGATCCCTCACCTTCCTCATGATCATTGATGCCCCACGAGGTGAGATCTTGCATGGAGCCCCAGACCGAGGGTGATTGACTGTCATCTTGAACTTCTTCCATTTTCTAATAATTGCGCCAACAGTTGTTGCCTTCTCACCAAGCTGCTTGCCTATTGTCCTGTAGCCCATCCCAGCCTTGTGCAGGTCTACAATTTTATCCCTGATGTCCTTACACAGCTCTCTGGTCTTGGCCATTGTGGAGAGATTGGAGTCTGTTTGATTGAGTGTGTGGGCAGGTGTCTTTTATACAGGTAACGAGTTCAAACAGGTGCAGTTAATACAGGTAATGAGTGGAGAACAGGAGGGCTTCTTAAAGAAAAACTAACAGGTCTGTGAGAGACGGAATTCTTACTGGTTGGTAGGTGATCAAATACTTATGTCATGCAATAAAATGCAAATTAATTACTTAAAAATCATACAACGTGATTTTCTGGATTTTTGTTTTAGATTCCGTCTCTCACAGTTGAAGTGTATCTATGATAAAAATTACAGACCTCTACATGCTTTGTAAGTAGGAAAACCTGCAAAATCAGCAGTGTATCAAATACTTGTTCTCCCCACTGTACAGCAATGAAATCTCAAAGCAGTACAGTACAACACTGCTAGATTCAGGGCAGCAACAAAGGCTCTCCATTTCTGTTTGTCTTTGGTCATCTTTTCTACAGCCGGATATACATTTACATTTACATTTTAGTCATTTAGCAGACGCTCTTATCCTGAGCGACTTACAGTTAGTGAGTGCATACATAATTTTTTATACTTGCCCCCCGTGGGAATCGAACCCACAACCCTGGCGTTGCAAACGCCATGCTCTACCAACTGAGCTACATCCCTGCCGGCCATTCCCTCCCCTACCCTGGACGACGCTGGGCCAATTGTGCGCCACCCCATTGGTCTCCCGTTCGCGGCCGGCTACGACAGAGCCTGGATATACATAAAGTACTGTCGCACAGTAGAACGCTACTAGCATCCGAATGTGTGAATTGATCATGAGCCCTGTCGTTCCCCGTGGAGATATACAGTACAGAATACTAATAATAATAGTTATATAGTGTAATTATATGATTCTTCTCCTGTACAGAGCGGCGAAGCTGAGGTTGAGCTGAAGAAGGGAGGACACATCAAGCTGACCCTGGACGACAAGTACAAGGATAACTGCGATGAGAATCACCTGTGGCTGGACTACAAGAACATCACCAAGATCCTGAAGGTCGGAGCTCACGTCTACATTGACGATGGCCTCATGTCCCTGAAGGTGAAGGAAGTCGGTGAGTATCCTAGCAACATCCTACTGTAGCAACACCATAACACTTTCACAACATGGAATTTTAGAGGAAGTAGCTACACACCAAAGTAACCAAGGTGCCTGTTGAAACAAAATGGTTCCCCAGGCTCTGACTTCCTGGACTGTGAGATTGAGAACGGTGGTACTCTGGGCTCCAAGAAGGGTGTGAACCTGCCCGGTGCTGCTGTGGACCTGCCCGCTGTCTCTGAGAAGGACATCCAGGATCTGCAGTTCGGTGTGGAGCAGGGAGTGGACATGGTCTTCGCCTCCTTCATCCGTAAGGCAGCCGACGTGCACGCTGTCAGGAAGGTGCTGGGAGAGAAGGGCAAGGACATCAAGATCATCTCCAAGCTGGAGAACCACGAGGGTGTGCGCAGGTGTGCATCTAAAAGATATAGGCCTCACTCTGGAAATGAGAACGTGTTACCTGGTAAAATAAGTCTTATGTAAATACACAATGCAATGCATGGTCACATTACAGTGTCTCATTTTGGAAATGTTCAAAAGAAAAACAGTAAGAAATCTCTGCTTGAAAGATCCTACTCTTGAGCATTAGTTCAGTCGCTTGGAAAAACAGATGCCCAATGCAATTCCTTGATATTGACTCAAACTATGTTATCATTTGTCTATGCATAGATTCGATGAGATCCTGGAGGCTAGCGATGGCATCATGGTTGCCCGTGGTGACCTGGGTATTGAGATCCCCACAGAGAAGGTGTTCATTGCCCAGAAGATGATGACCGGACGCTGCAACAGGATGGGCAAGCCCATCACCTGCGCCACACAGGTCAGACACGTCATCAGCGGACTAACCAAATCAACCTTTACCCCCTACACACGTGTGTAGATCTGAGAGGATTGGATAGGTGTAAGCAATATGATGGTAGCTCGATCTTGCTGAAAGGACATGTGGAATTGTTGCCATACTGCAAATGCTTATCCAGTCTCAGATCTCCAACTATCCAACCTCTAGTGGCTAGGGGTAAGGCCTAGGGGTTGATTAGAAGTTCAGGATGTGACGCCCCCCCCCCTCCTCCTTGCAGATGCTGGAGAGTATGATTAAGAAGCCCCGCCCCACCCGTGCTGAGGGTTCCGATGTCGCCAACGCCGTTCTGGACGGTAACGATTGCATCATGCTGAGTGGTGAGACCGCCAAGGGAGACTACCCACTGGAGGCTGTCCGCACACAGCACAAGGTGAGAGGATAGATAAGAGTGCCCTCTATAGGCATGGTCTCTATAGGCCCCTCCCTCCCTCCTCTTCCTTTTTTTATTTTTCATCCTGGCCCACCGTGGGAAACGAACCCACAATTTTGGCGTTGTAAACAACATGCTCTACCAACTGAGCTACATCCCTGCCGGCCATTCCCTCCCCTACCCTGGACGACGCTGGGCCAATTGTGTGCCGCCCCATGGGTCACGACAGAGCCTCTCTCCCCCTCCTCCTCCTCCCCTCTTCCCACTCCTCCCTCCTCCTCCCCCCTCCCCCTATCCCCCTATTGGTCTTCACTGCATCTGTTTCGGGCATTTTGTGACTGTGGCATCAGATTGCTCCATCATCAGCACGTCTGAGGATCTGCACCACAACTCAGTGTTCTTTCGGGTATACAGCCCACAATGATTATAATAACTAGTGGATACTACACTTCTTAACTTGCACCTTCAGAAGCCTAATTTTATACCTGGTGCTAACATGCTTCCTTTGTCCCGATCTTGTCCACACTCTGATTGTACCCACATTGTACTGTAGCTGTTGCATCTACACTGGTAGTAAAATGTGTCTCTTGTCCGTCCACTGTGTCCGCATTGTGAGCGGATATCCTGGGTCCTCCCTGTATGCAAATTATTCAACATACCTGTATGTTCTTTCAAAGTAATATTTTTTTAACACACATATTGATGCCATTAGGTTAATGGCGTCACCTGTCAATGATTTGAGAGGGCGGGATAATTATGATTAAATGGTTTCACTGTCCAGATCAATCTACACTTGAAAAGATATCCAGTCACAATGCCATTTATGACTACCACCGAAGGTTGTCAGGCAGATCTGATCACAATCAGATCACAATGCGTCTTTGTGTGTCCGGATTCCATTTTCCGCGCTATATTCAAATGCCAGAATGCATTCTACAAACGGTGGAATATACAAAGTATGATAATAACAGCAACAGCTGATGGTAGTAGCTAACCTCTGTAGCTAGCCAGCTAACCTCTGTAGCTAGCCAGCAAGCTAGCAAGCAACGCCAAAGGGATTGCAAACGGATTAGTATAACTATAGCCAAACAAAAAATTGTTTTTTCTAAATATTAGCTAGCTGGCTAGCATTTATGGAGGCCAGCTAACACGTTCCTCACACACTAGTAACGTATTTCCTCCAACGTTATAATGAAAAGGTGCCTCTAGGTCCCAAAACACACGTTTTCTGGAGACTTGTGGGAGGAGTGCTGATGACCGTCGTCCACTGTATGCGCTTTCGGTAGCCTGATTGCGTCCAGACTGAGGAGAAATCGGCACACAATGCATCCCTGACCACCTCCTGAAGTGGTCAGCCAGATCTGAACAAAATCAGACCACAAAGCGACTTTTGTGCGTATAGACCCGTCTTTTCAATGCGATCTTCGTATTCTGATAGCAGAGGTCGCATGTAAGTGTCACGTGTAGACACAACCTTTTAAACATCTACAAAATGTGGGCACAATCTGAACGTGGACAAGATCTGGACAAATGACGCATGTTAGCACCAGGTATAAACAGGGCTAGATATAGTAGTATGCACAAATGGGTGCCTCTATTAGCATTTGACTGTGGCTGTATGAAGCCGTCACTGTTGTAGCTGTTCATGTTTAGGAGTCAGGACTTTATTTTAGGGGTGTATGAAACTCATTTAGCCCCCTAGTTTAGGTAGAGTGTCATTGTGGTCTAAATCTGTGCCGACCTTGCTCCATGTTATCTGTACAATACTGTATGACAGGAATCTGACACCTGTCATCTCTCTCTCCCTTCCTTCCTCCCTACCTCCCTCCCCCCCCCCCCCCCTCTCTCTCTCTCTCTCTCTCTCTCTCCTCCCTCCCCCTCTCTCTCTCCCTCCCTCCCTAACTCCCTCCCTCTCTCTGCCTCTCTCTCACTCCCTCCCTCCCTCTCTCTCTCTCTCTCGCTCTCTCTCCCTAACTCCATCCCTCCCTCCCTAACTCCATCCCTCCCTCCCTAACTCCCTCCCTAACTCCCTCCCTCTCTCTGCCTTTCTCTCTTCCTCTCCCCTCCAGATTGCTCGTGAGGCCGAGGCCGCCATGTTCCACAGGCAGATGTTCGAGGAGCTCTGTCGTACCTCCCACCTGACCCGTGACCCATCTGAGTCCGTTGCCATCGGCGCCGTTGAGGCGTCCTTCAAGTGCTGCGCCAGCGCCATCATTGTGCTCACCAAGTCTGGCAGGTACGAACCAATCAGAGAGCAGAACACACACGATACTCTCTCCACCTCTATTCTGCCTCTGAAGGAAAGGACAAACATGAACGACATGGCACTGATGACAACCTCAGGAATAGAATGTGCTTTACTCCATCCTCTTGGATCCATGACAGGGTCATAGGGTCACAGGGTCACAGGGTCACAGGGTCACAGGGTCACAGGGTCACAGGGTCACAGGATCACAGGGTGACAGGGTGCTCACTCAGAAAAGGTTAACACTCATTTGATTCAGTTGCACTTGAATTTAGTGCAGTACAGTTGTTAATTTGTCTCCAGTCCTCTCCCATCCACCTCTCCCTCTCACCCCAGCCCTGTAGCAGACTCAGCCCTGTAGCAGAGACTCAGCCCTGTAGCAGACTCAGCCCTGTAGCAGAGACTCAGCCCTGTAGCAGACTCAGCCCTGTAGCAGAGACTCAGCCCTGTAGCAGAGACTCAGCCCTGTAGCAGAGACTCAGCCCTTTAGCAGAGACTCAGCCCTTTAGCAGAGACTCAGCCCTGTAGCAGACTCAGCCCTTTAGCAGAGACTCAGCCCTGTAGCAGAGACTCAGCCCTGTAGCAGAGACTCAGCCCTGTAGCAGAGACTCAGCCCTGTAGCAGAGACTCAGCCCTGTAGCAGAGACTCAGCCCTGTAGCAGAGACTCAGCCATGTAGCAGAGACTCAGCCCTGTTGCAGAGACCCATGACTTGTATTCAGTGAGCCAAGTCCCTGCAGCACACGATCTGGGATCCTCTAGTTCCCAACCTTTAGAGTCCTGAACCCTGACATTTAGGAAGTTCATTATAACTCTCCTCTCCACTCCACTCCTCTCCACTCCACTCCTCTCCACTGCTCTACTCTCCACTGCTCTACTCTCCACTGCTCTACTCTCCACTCCACTCCTCTCCACTGCTCTACTCTCCACTGCTCTACTCTCCACTCCACTCCTCTCCACTGCTCTACTCTCCACTGCTCTACTCTCCACTCCACTTCTCTCTACTCCTCTCCTCTCCTCTTCTCTCCACTCCGCTCTACGCTCCACTCCTCTACTCTCCACTCCTCTACTCGTCACTCCACACCTCTCCTCTCCTCTCCACTCCTTTCCTCCACTCCCCTCCTCTCCACTCAAAGTTCAGAAACACCCCGCGCCACTATACAGTATAGATACACTATACAGTAGTCAGCTCTGTGCTGAAATGTGATGATATTTTTACATTTTGATTGAGAATTATTACTGTTAACCTTCCACTGCTGTGTCCAGAGTTTGTATGAAGTGTGTGTTTATTCTGGACTCTAATCTGCTGTTCCTTCCTGTGTCTGGTTCTAGATCCGCCCACCTGCTGTCCAGGTACAGGCCCCGTGCCCCCATCATCGCTGTGACCCGCTGCGGCCAGACTGCCCGCCAGGCTCATCTGTACCGCGGTATCTACCCCGTGCTGTACACCAAGCCTGCCAACGATGTCTGGGCCGAGGATGTCGACCTCCGCATAAACTTCGCCTTGGAGATGGGTGAGTAATAACACTGTTCTTATCTCTGACTCTGAAGGTTTTATGTGCAATGATCGTGATCCTTGTTTTACCTAGTTTAGTTGAATGCACTGGAGAAGAGTGTCTTCTAAGTGACTAAAATGTAATGTGAAATCTCTGCGGGGAAAAGTGTATTGCAATGTGATTCGCAAATATTCAATCATCAAATAAGTTAAACGCAAAACTTAGTAAGGCTAGCTCTGTCTCTTTCTCCTGTTCTGGTACCATTAACACCTCTCTGTCTCTTTCTCCTGTTCTGGTACCATTAACACCTCTCTGTCTCTTTCTCCTGTTCTGGTACCATTAACACCTCTCTGTCTCTTTCTCCTGTTCTGGTACCATTAACACCTCTCTGTCTCTTTCTCCTGTTCTGGTACCATTAACACCTCTCTGTCTCTTTCTCCTGTTCTGGTACCATTAACACCTCTCTGTCTCTTTCTCCTGTTCTGGTACCATTAACACCTCTCTGTCTCTTTCCCCTCCAACAGGAAAGCATCGTCAGTTCTTCAAGTCTGGAGATGTGGTCATTGTTGTGACCGGCTGGCGTCCAGGCTCTGGTTACACCAACACCATGCGCATTGTGCTTGTCCCTTGAACTACCTCAAATGACATTACCACTCCCCCTTACCCCTCTCTTGTTCCTATAACCCCTCCCCCTTACCCCTCTCTTGTTCCTATAACTCCTCCTCCTTACCCCTCTCTTGTTCCTATAACTCCTCCCCCTTACCCCTCTCTTGTTCCTATAACTCCTCCCCCTTACCGCTCTCCTGTTCCTATAACTCCTCCCCCTTACCTCTTTCCTGTCCCTATAACCCCTCCCCATTACCCCTCCCTGTAGTAAAAGCCATCTATCTTTCCTGTATGATTATCTAGACTCCACCTTTTAAAGAAGACAACAAGTTAAAGCCAAAATGAACCCAACACCAGGTTACTTCTCCAAAGGACTTTTGGGCGGTGCCATTCACACACAGACAGTCACTTTCCAACACTCCTTAATTCCTTGTTATTGGTACATAGGTGTGTCATCTACGGTATCTACTATGTCCAAGTCATCCTTCCAGAGGTTACACACCCCACTGAAAGCACACACACACACACCTGCCTGACTGAGTTTGCATGCTGAACAATATGAAGTATATGTTCTATTAAACTGTAATCACACGTCTCCATGTCAGAGCTACTCGATGTCAGTTGCTTCATGGTACAGTACGTTGATGTAGATTATGAATATAATGGGGCTCCTGCTCTATGTGGGTCTTCTCCTCACCTGGTAGACAGGTAAGACTCCACTGACATGTTCAAGTTAAAGGTACGGTAACGTCATGCTGTTGCTGAGTGCTAAGGGATCTGGCATGACTGGGTTTCCATCCATCCATCCATTAAAAAGATGAACACCTGACTTTGTTGTGTTTGGTTTACCTTCCTGTAAGTCACAAGTTTCAATATGTCTTCGTAACAGATTATTATTATGCTTCCACTTGCCATAGACATCTAGTGTTATTGGGTCCATCACTGCTGGGGGACGATATCCGAATGCTATTCCTTTTAGACACTTAAAATCCACACAAAAAAATAAGAATTATGAGGAATTATAAAACGGCCAACTTTGGAACCATCTGTTTCCGGTGGTAAGTGGTTTTTAAGGTTTGATTTCAGCAACTGTGATAAAATCCTCATATAAAAAGATTATACACTTATCCTACACAGTTACAAGTGTTCCCTAATTCTCAATGGAACCAATGTTTGCCGGATCTTTCTCTTAGGACACACCTTAGGTTAGAGGGAGGATGAGGTTAGGGGGTGGATGAGGTTAGGGGGTGGATGAGGTTAGGAGGTGGATGAGGTTAGGAGGTGGATGAGGTTAGGGGGTGGATGAGGTTAGGGGGTGGATGAGGTTAGGGGGTGGATGAGGTTAGAGGGTGGATGAGGTTAGGGGGTGGATGAGGTTAGAGGGTGGATGAGGTTAGGGGGTGGATGAGGTTTAGGGGTGGATGAGGTTAGGGGGTGGATGAGGTTAGGGGTGGATGAGGTTAGAGGGTGGGATGAGGTTAGGGGGTGGATGAGGTTAGGGGGTGGATGAGGTTAGGAGGTGGATGAGGTTAGGAGGTGGATGAGGTTAGGGGGTGGATGAGGTTAGGGGGTGGATGAGGTTAGGGGGTGGATGAGGTTAGAGGGGTGGATGAGGTTAGGGGGTGGATGAGGTTAGGGGGTGGATGAGGTTAGGGGGTGGATGAGGTTAGGGGTGGATGAGGTTAGGGGTGGATGAGGTTAGAGGGTGGATGAGGTTAGGGGTGGATGAGGTTAGGGGGTGGATGAGGTTAGGGGTGGATGAGGTTAGGGGTGGATGAGGTTAGGGGTGGATGGTAGGTGTGGTTGGGGGTGGATGAGGTTGGGGGTGGATGAGGTTAGGGGGTGATTGAGGTTGGTGGTGGTGGTGGATGGGTTAGGGGTGGATGAGGTTAGGGGGTGGATGAGGTTAGGGGGTGGATGAGGTTAGGGGGTGGATGAGGTTGGGGGTGGATGGGTTAGGGGGTGGATTGAGGTTAGGGGGTGGGATGAGGTTAGGGGGTGGATGAGGTTAGGGGTGGATGAGGTTAGGGGGTGGATGAGTTTAGGGGTGGATGAGGTTAGGGGGTGATGAGGTTAGGGGTGGATGATGGTTTAGGGGTGGATGAGGTTAGGGGTGGATGAGTTAGGGTGGATGAGGTTAGGGGTGGATGAGGTTAGGTGTTTCATTTTAGCGTTAGAATGTTGCTATGTTAGTTCAATTAAGAGTTATATACTGTGGATGAGTTAGTGGTCTATGATTAGGGTTATAGTTATTTGGATTACAGTGTCTCCTCAATGGTCTTTAAGCCGTTAACACACAGACCATGTTGCTACTTGTTAGTTCACAAAATAATAACAAGAGCTTAATAAAAAAATATACAACTTTTCACTACTAATTGCTATTATAACTAAAGATTAAGAGCCTATACTAATTATACATTCATTATAAAGTATATATTAATGTAAAGTGTTACCAATATTATAGACCACTCCTACTTTCTCTCCAGCACTAAGACTTGCAGAGACAGTAGCTAGGTTTCCATCCAATTGGGGACAGATTTTCATTCGAATATTCTAAAATCCGCATAAAATCACATTTTCCCACCAGAGTTGTGTTTCTATCAAATTGATTTGTTGTACATAAAAGGCTGTGCGTGATGACTTAGTGCACATAAAAATACCTTTGGCGGTTAAATTCCCATGTACAGTATTAAAAATACAAGTTAAATGGATTTCCATCGCATTTTCAACTCCACTGATGGTTTTCTCACAAAAACATTTGCGTTATATAGCGAGTGTGCCCACTCTGGTGTTGGCACGTGCGCTCTAGCCAACAGCTCGCAGATACAGTGCAGGTAGGATAGCCAACATGATGAGATTTTATGGATAAAAGAGCAATATTATTTGTATTTGTCAAACGGCAGCCAAGCATTGACGATCATGTCACCAGAATAAGACCCTCGATATTTATTGGAAAGGAGCATCAAGCTCATCACCGTGCACTTTCACCACCCTGTGAAGTTCATCATAACTTATTTCATCCGTAGCCTAATAAACTGCATGCTTTCCCGTGGAGTCGTAGTGGGAGGACCACACAACATGTCATCGCGTGACTCCCAAGTTTACTTCGATATTATGGTTATTATATCAATTTTTGCGCATAAAAGCGTTTCCACCGACATTTCTCGCATAATTAATTTCAACAACACAAAAATATACCAACTTGACTAGCGTATTTTGTTTTGTCGACATTTGGAAAGTTTACCGACAGCTCTTCTGTTTCCATCAGGCCTGTCATTACATTTTATATCCGACGTACTTTACGCCCATAAAAAGGTTGGATGGAAAGCTGGTTAGTGTCTCTCTCTAGCGGATGATGTGTATACCCGTCATCAGGGCCAAACCATTTTGTTGTCGCGGACACAGCTGTGTCTTATGTAGGCTACTGCAAGTCTCTATAAGTGAATATTGTGTAATCTGCATTGTAATGTGTCCCAGTATGTTCCACCAGTCTCCCACAACAGGTTGTCCTATGTCCATACATGTCCTTGTATCGTTTGAGCCTCCGAGCTTCGTATCATTCAAAACCAAACCATATGTTGTTCATTAATCATGTTGTAAAAAAAAAAAGGCCAGATTTACTCCAAGTCACTTTAAAATGGCAGTTATGTTGATATACGTTACTGATGGACACATACGACTACTGTGTGCTGTGCTGTGTTCTCCAGTGTACTCTGCAGCAGAGAGCTCTGTTACGGTCTAAGCAGTTGTCTAAAACAGTTGGCATCAGAAACATTCAACGTGCCCTAAAAGGGTAATACGCTGCGATGGTCTAGTGGTCTAAGTGGCTGCCCCCAACATACCAGTGTGAGTGTGGGTTCAAATCCAAGCCTCTGGCATACCCTCTCCTCCTACGTTTCTTGTAAGTCTTTCACTTTCCTATCTAATAAAAATGAAATAAACAAAAAATCACTTTGCCCCACCCCTTAAAATAATGCACTAATACCCACAGCAACAGCACAAGATACCTATTCTGTTCTGTTCTGTTCTATTCTATTCTATTCTCTTCTATTCTATTCCATTCTATTCTGTTCTGTTCTATTCTCTTCTGTTCTATTCTGTTCTGTTCTATTCTATTCCATTCTATTCTACATTTTACATTTACATTTTAGTCATTTAGCAGACGCTCTTATCCAGAGCGACTTACAGTTAGTGAATACATTTTTTTTTTTTTTATACTGGCCCCCCGTGGGAATCGAACCCACAACCCTGGCGTTGCAAACGCCAAGCTCTATCAACTGAGCTACATCCCTGCCGGCCATTCCATTCTATTCTATTCTATTCTGTTCTGTTCTGTTCTGTTCTATTCTGTTCTATTCTGTTCTGTTCTGTTCTATTATATTATATTATATTCCATTCTATTCTAGTCCATTCTATTTTATTTCATTATGTTCTATTCTGTTCTGTTCTGTTCTGTTCTGTTCTGTTCTATTCTATTCTATTCTATTCTATTCTATTCTGTTCTATTCTGTTCTGTTCTATTCTATTCTATTTTATTCAATTCTGTTCTGTTCTATTCTGTTCTGTTCTGTTCTATTCTATTCTATTCTATTCTATTCTATTCTGTTCTGTTCTGTTCTATTCTATTCTATTCTATTCTATTCCATTCTATTCTATTCTATTCCATTCTATTTTATTTTATTTCATTCTGTTCTATTCTGTTCTGTTCTGTTCTGTTCTATTCTATTCTATTATATTCTATTCTATTCTGTTCTATTCTGTTATGTTCTATTCTGTTCTGTTCTATTCTATTCTGTTCTATTTTATTATATTATATTCTGTTCTGTTCTGTTCTATTCTATTCTGTTCTGTTCTGTTCTATTCTATTCTATTCTATTCTATTTTATTCTATTCTGTTCTGTTCTATTATGTTCTATTATATTCTATGTTATTCTATTTTATTCTATTCTATTCTGTTCTATTTTATTCTATTCTGTTCTATTCTATTGTATTATATTCTGTTCTATTCTGTTCTGTTCTGTT